AAGCCAAATATAAATTCTATTTATTTATTTTGTGTGAGTTTATACGCTTTGGGAGTCACGACCAAGTGTTAGACTGACTACAAAGAACCGGAATCTTCTAGTCTGGTTCAAAGTTACATTTTACCTTTTCTTTAACTCATAACGCGGACTCGAAGAAGTTATCAAAGACAAGACATTCATTTGCTCTCTAAACACTTTGTTATTTTTCATTTTGTAACTTTATTGTTAATTTTGCAATTGATTCTTGTCCTTGCTTCTATACTTAGTCTTATTACAATGCCGTTCTGTGTCTTCTCGATATTGAATGATCTCTTTCTTTCTTTCTTTCTTTCTTTCTTTCTTTCTTTCTTTCTTTCTTTCTTTCTTTTAGCATTCATATATCCCTATTTGATATCAAGATTTAATTCATTCTTTCATTCTTTCTTTCTGTCTGTCTTTCTTTCCTTCTATTTCATATCACGTTTTTTCTCTTTGTTTCTTGCTTTCTTTCATTCTTCTTTCTTTTTTCTTTATTTCTTTCTTATAACATTCAGATAACCTTATTTATATCACGCTTTCTTTCTTTCTTTCTTTCTTCCGTTCATTCTTTCTTTCTTGTAGTTTTTAGATAACCTTATTTCAAATCAAGCTTTCTTTCTTTCTTTCTTTCTTTCTTTCTTTCTTTTCCATTAGCTTTTTAATTCATCCTTCTCATTCGTGGCCCTTTTTTATCTTTAATATCATTGTTGAATTTCATAGGTCGTTGTACATTTCTGTTTATTTTCATGTTTTTCCTACAAACATTTCTTTTTTCCTTCATCGTACGTCAGTCATATTTCTTTCTTTCTTTCTTTCTTTCCTAAAACTATATTCCTTAATTTTTTGTTTTTTTTTCTTTCTTTCCTTTTAATTATTTTACTGTCTTATTGTTCTAGTACCAAACTTTAAATATTCTTTCTCCCACTTACATTCACTTATTCTTGTCGCTCAGCATTTGCTCTAACATCTCTTCTTCCTCTTCGTCTCCTCAATTCCAACTCCTTCCTCTTGACTTTCCTTATCTCTTTCTACTCGCAATCCTCTGAAATCTCTTTCTGTTCCCTCTATAACTCCCAACCTCCAAATTCCTCCTTAAACCAAGATTACAAGGCACAAACTCTCAAACCGACTGGCAACTTGTATCTGTCTTGTTCATAAAGTCCGTTTGCCATAATCTAATACTCGCTCTAACAATCTATAATGAAGAACAGTCAGCGACGAACGAACCAACGAATAGGCAAGTGAGCAGTCTAAGTGTCACGAGGCATGCGCACAAGTGATAGATAAAACGAGAGACACATAGATACCGAGAATGGTAGAGTGGGATAGCAAATCCAAAACCAAGCAAGGGTTTCAGCATTTAATGAATAACATTGATTGTGTCAGCGATAGCTTCCCGCGAAAGTAGACCGGTCTTCTTTTGCTCGGCTCCCAACCAATAGGACACTGTTGCTGGCACTTCATTATTTCCTGGTTGCAGAACGCCGGTGAAGCTATTAACAGCGAATTCATGTTTTACTCTCTGCTGTCTCATCTTTGTTGCTCGCTGACTCGCTTGATTCTTGGCGATTTTATTCATTTCCACTTTTCATCACCAACGCCGCCCACGTTAGACATCTTCGTCAGCTGTCGCTCTTCATGCATTTGTACAGTATATGCTTGCTTGTATAAAATCATACTATTCCTACACATTTTACTTTTCCTTGACTTCAGTAAGTCAGTCTCTCATTCTTTATTTTTTCCTAACTATTGCACAGTGTCTATATCCATATATTAAAATATGCCCATATCTATCTATCTATCTATCTATCTATCTATCTATCTATCTATCTATCTATCTATCTATCTATCGCTAGCAGTATATACCTACTTATTTATTGTAAACGATCATATCTACCTAGTATAAACGACATCTATCTATCTATCTATCTATCTATCTATCTATCTATCTATCTATCTATCGCGAGCAGTATATACCTACTTATTTATTGTAAACGATCATATCTACCTAGTATAAACGACATCTATCTATCTATCTATCTATCTATCTATCTATCTATCTATCTATCTACTGCAAACTGTTCATTATCTATCTATCTATCTATGGCGAGCAGTATATACCTACTTATTTATTGTAAACGATCGTATCTACCTAGTATAAACGATGTCTATCTATCTATCTATCTATCTATCTATCTATCTATCTACTGCAAACTGTTCATTATCTATCTATCTATCTATGGCGAGCAGTATATACCTACTTATTTATTGTAAACGATCGTATCTACCTAGTATAAACGATGTCTATCTATCTATCTATCTATCTATCTATCTATCTATCTATCTATCTATCTATCTATTTTAGCTTTGCAAACAGTATATATATACTTATTTATTGAAGCGATCATATCTACCCATTATAAACGATAATATCTATCTACTGTAAACAGTTCATTATCTATCTATGGCGAGCAGTATATACCTACTTATTTATTGTAAACGATCATATCTAACGAGTATAAACGATATCTATCTATCTATCTATCTATCTATCTATCTATCTATCTATCTATCTATCTATCTATCTACTGTAAGCTGTTCATTATCTATCTATTTTAGTTTTGCGAACTGTATATATATTTATTGAAACGATCATATCTACCCATTATAAACGATAATATATATCTACTGTAAATAGTTCATTATCTATCTATCTATCTATCTAGAAATTAAGAAATATATTATTTTGTATTTTTGTTTATTTTTTTAAAATTCCTTTCTCGATCCTTCTTTATTAACCCATATCGACGTTGTACGGTGCTTAATGAAAAACATGTATCGGAAAGGAAATGAAAAAAAAACCTTAAGAAACTTCCCTCGAGAAACTTCTCTTAGCATTAATGTGTTTTTTTATGTTTAAAGCATGTCTATAGAGAATAGCGTTCTTCACGTCAACCACAACGTTCAAGTGCATTTATTTACATACACCAATCATATCAGTATTAATTTACTAACCGCAGATTGATAAATAGCTGCGATGAATGGCAACAGATTTTAAGAGAAAAGAAGTACTAGTCAAAACAAATTAGAAATTCTTCATTTCATAATAAAATTTAAGATATTTTTACAAGATTACTTTCAATTAAGCTTCTTTTACAATGATCGTGCCCCTGTAAAAGGCCCGTTCGAGGTAGAGAATGACACTTTTTGTGGGAATATGTGGGGAAGATAACGATTGACTCTAGACTTGAACAGCTTAAGATTGTAGTAATCGGGAAAGCATCCTCTTGGGAGTCGGTTCCACGAAGTAGTCGTTCGATCTGTCTAAATATCGATAATGGAAAAATATAATATTTCAAAATATTAGAAACCCGTATTGAAAACGAAATCAAAGAACCTTTTTTATTTTTACGATCAGTCTAATACATAGAAACTGGTTGGAATTATTGTTTATACTGATTTATATCAGGATGTTTGGTTCAAGTGGTAACGGAAAGGGCTGAAAATCAAGACGTCTAAGGCTCCATTTCAAATCTTCGAATATTATCTTTGCGTAATTTTCATATTTAATCCACTGAAATCAAAAATTGAGTGCTTTCATTTATAGAGTAAAGCAAAGAAATGGCACTTGGTAGCGAATACTTTGTGATGGATAAACATTCATCAGAAACAAGACACAAACAGACCAGACTAATCAGCTGAGATTATCGTAAATTATTTTAGGCATTCTTTGTTGGAATTTACAGATGCCTACCGTAGCTTCTGAGGAGAGTTCTAGCAGAGGATAGAAAGTGCAACACTGAGACGCATTTGATCAACAAAAGACGCATTCCAAAAGCTAAGCAGATTATTAAAAGACAGAAAAATTCGTTAGAAACAAAGAAAAGAGTACTGAACTGTTACGTGATATCTGTTCTCCTTCATGACAGTTTATGCTGGACAATCTCCTCAAAGATGAAGAAGAAACTTGAAGTAACAGGAATATGGTTCTACAGAAAGATGCTGAGGATACCATAGATCGAACATGTGAGCAACTAGGTTTTGGAGAAACTGGATAAAAAAAGGAAATTTATACTTAACATTAGGAAGAGTCAGTTGAAATCACTGGGGACCGTAATGAGGAAGGAGGGCTTGGAAAATCTGATACTCACAGGGCAGATAGAGGGAAAGAGGGACAGGGGAAAGCAGCACGTAACATACTTGATGAGATTGAGCAAATAGATTGCAGAACAGCTTTTGAGAGAAATAACAAAAAGACAAAACTTATTAAGAGTTACAAGGGACAGGAAGATGTGGTGGACCATAATCGCTTACGTCTTGAAGGGACACGGCACATAAAAGAAGATGGTAGCTTCATGGCGAAAGAGCTCATCAGGCAACATCATCTATTAGTATGAGTTTGATGTTTATTGTGTGCTCAGCTAGAGTAGCCTTGTGCTGAGCTAAGTTTAGAACAAGAGTTTCTTTCGTTAATCTACTTGAATTTTATTCGAACTTTGTTAAAATCCATTCATTGAGAATGCCGATTGTCAAGGTAAGTAGACTAAACACAGGTTCTCTTTTGCAAACAGTCCATTTCTATGTATGTATGTATATGTATGTATGTATGTATGTATCGCAAACAGGTCATAGTCTAAAGGAAACTTTATGGTGTGTATGAGAGTGTTGCCGAAAATCAACAGCCCTAAAATATAACGGATTTTCAGCAACACTCACATACACTCACATACACACCAAGCAGTAACGAAAAGCCAACAGAAAAAAAAAACAACATATGGTTTAATTCAACTTACAAAAAAAAAACAAACAAAAAAAACAAAAAACAAACGTAAAGTGGGAAAAATTAATCATAAAAAACTTCGCCCATTAAGCACTCTCCGCAAGATATTCAACAGAAACATGGTAAAAATCAGCTACAGCTGCATCGAGAACATGATGCAAATAATAATACCAGCAAAACACCCGCACAAATCAAACCCACC